GCAGGAATAAGATAGTCATTACTGTGGAATTTTCCTTTTTTGAAGTTCCCTGAAAGAGAAAATACTATTTTGCTCTAATTTGTTTTTAAAAATCCAAATAACCTCTGAAAGCAAATTCCTCATCAAAAAAGATACTAACTCAGAAGAGTTAAAAATACATTCTACTTTGCTTAGTGCTAACTCGGTATGGACGTATAACCTTCCTAATAATTCTTACTTATTTGGGAGGGCCTAAATACAGTTAAAGAACAATAGACTGTATGACAAATGCAGTTAAATAACGAAGTCATAACAGGCACAACTATTTGCATTATACCACTAATAATTTATCACACCCATATGTGATATTTTTTTAACAGGCATTCTGTTTCACCAGGATGCTGTGTGTGCATGCAAAGAAACTATATAGAGAAATGTAAATACTTGAGCTGAATTTCTATAATTTAATGAATTCATTCTGCTTTCTTGAGAAACAACTAATTTTCTGATAAAGTTGCCTGACAAGCCCTTTTTAAATTCATGTATGCTATGAACAACTTATGATAACATGCAATGTAATATATTTTGTCAAATGCTTTTGAAGTTCTAATTTCATATATATTTATTTCATTACACTTTATAAGTGGCTTGACAGCTTGTAAAGAATTTTATACACCTGTTTCAAACAACTGAGCAATATTATGTATTTTCCCAATGCTTCCAAGATTTTGAATTTTACAACTGTGTCAGCATATTGTACTTAATTTAAACAGCAGAATACAGGACTCAACAGTTAGAAGTGAAGTATGCATTTGACAAGCAAAAGAAAACAAACAAATGAAAAGCTAACACAAACTCCAGTTCACCACTCCGGGCTTTAGTTTGAGGCACAGGCTGTGTCTGGGTACTCTCAACTCACTAATTCCATCTATTACAATTAAGCACAGATGGCTTTATCTGAAAGTTTAGAGAATGGCCAAGAACTGAATATATAATTTAATTATTGATGTGAACACAAAGATGGCAAGTTTAATAAACAATTTAAAAAACCCCCTGAGAGATGATTGGTCCCTGATTATTTGAATTTTTTTATCACTTTGTACTATGATAATCTAAACTTCAGGGAAGAAAATTATTAATACTGGGTGATAAATACATCCCACTTCACACATGGCAAATTTCAAATAAGATGCTTGACACTTATTTTGCAAACAACAATAATGTTTTGTGGTTTGGGTTTTGGTTTTTTTTTTTTTAAATTTTCAAATTTTCAAAAGATTACCTAGTCATATAGATTAACACTTCTATAGCAAAACCATGTCTCTTTCTTTGATTTTTATATGAGGATAAAAGAACATAGAATAATTTCTTGCTATTTATAATATAAATGAAAATGGAAAAATCCCACTGGCATTAATAATCAATTCCTAAGTAAAATCTCCCACAACGTTAAGAAAGCTTTTCTATGTCAACTTCCCCACCTGAAGGTATAACAATAAATGGCTCTGAGTGATTACTGAGCCACATGACATTTTCCCCTTTAGATGAAACACCTGCATATGAAAACTACAGCACTATTGCCTGCAGTAACTCAGAACATTTTCAAACGTAGATAGTAATTAAGAGGCAGAGAAATCCACTTTAACCTTTCAAGCAGAATGCGCTAGTCTTCAGACATCCCGTACCTATGGATACTATGCCTCGAATTGGAGAAAGGAGCAGAAAGCTCCTACACAGCATAGGAATGCCTAATTTATTAAGCCTTCTAGGTTATTACCTTGAAGATACTAAATATACATTCATGATATACAATCAGGAATATGCATTCAAGATTATCCAACACAAGAAGGTAATAATTTCTTGGATTTCTAAGTACAAAAGAAAAAAAGAACAGAAATTGTCAACTGACGAGAAGGCACTTGAGAACTATTTGTGGAATTTCCCTCTTGAAGTATTTTATAAAGACAACGATTACGAGATAAAACCATTAAGAATTTGTCATTTCTTCCTGAGAACCACATTTAAATTAACTTACTGAAAGTAGCATTACAGAGATTTTTTTATGCATTCAGGTTCCTCATAGGTAGGAGAGAACTAGGCTAACTGAGCTACGTCAAATAACAACATCTACTTCTTATTGTGGTTAAGTATTATAGAAATGGACTTCTCATGACACAAAACAAGGGACATCATCTCAGGAATGTAATGAATGCAATGAGGAGGTAGTGTTCGAGCAAACTTTTTATCACTTTATCACTGAGCAGTTTTTATATTTCTTAACTAAAGAAACGCAATATGTAACTTACTGACAAAAGTAACCTAATTGTAGTATTTATTTTGACTTCATCAGATTATTGAGAAGTCATAGGTCAGGCATTTTTGCATAGCTGATACAGAATTACAGCTGTTTATACAAATAAATAAAATTGGAAAATTTCTGCAAGGGACATTTTCAGTATCAGTGAACTAATTTTCCAACAGGTCAGATGGCGTTGTATAAAAACATACACATGCAGCTTATCAGAATTAAAAAGTTACCTCTTATACGTTTCTAAACTGGCTCCACTCCTGATACCATGTACTGAGGAAAAAAGTTACTTACTACAGTTTTCTTCATCAGAATTATCACCACAATCATTTTGGCTGTCACATCTCCAATGATCTGGAATACAGTTGTTGTTTTTGCACTGGAATTCATGAGGCCCACAAGTTTTTTTATCTGTAATTAAGATGAATATAATTTACATCATTCCGACAAAGGGTCAAAACGGGAAAGACTGCTACTAAACAGTGACATGACAATATTGCTAGATACATTTAAGAAGGAACAACTGTAACACTTGAAATGTTATTTTCAGAAATAATTTATTTCTCATACCACATTCTTTAAGATTCTATTTATTAATTCATACCAAAAGATATATTCTCACAAATTTGATGATAAAATTAAAACACGGACTGCATACACTGTCATTTAAAGTAACAAAATTATAAAACTCAGAAGTGATCACAAATTAGTTTGAAGAAAAGGTATTATTGCACTGAATCTCAAAAACTGCATTGACTTTTACTTGAATTTAACTGTAAATTTGCTTTACAAAAGACCATATCACAGTAAACCACAAGAATATTTATTAAAAAAATGTACAAAATATAATTTCTGAAAATTTATGTTTACATACAATAATTTAAGACTAATCATACCAAACAGAAACCTTTGCATTTTGATTGACATTTTCACCTTCTGACATCTTGGATTGGGAGTCTAATTATACAAAGTAAAACATTATAAAGCATAGAATGCTAAACTGAGATTAATTTTCTTCATGCAGTAAATTTTCAATGAGCTTTTCTGTTCATGGAGTAGCATTGTAGGTAAAGCCTTTTGGAGAAGCATGAACATCCTGAACTCCTCCTCCAACAGGAAGGAGCTGCCTCTATTTTATTTATATTATTTATTTCTCGAGTAATTCTTTCAAGTTCTAAGGAGTGAGATGAAATGAAGTAAATTAAAAAGTTATCAGGGACGTTTCCTTTGGGGAAAAAAAGTTTGTTTTGTAAAAGCCTCAGTAACATATTTAAAATTACATGTCACTGTGATGATATTTCAACACAAAATTTTTAAATTTCCATTAAGCTATTTCACAGTATGTCAGTTCAGAATTCATATTGCTATCATGACAACTTGCTGAATTCTAATATTTGACAGACTGAAGGAGGACTGAAACACTAGTTTAAATCAACCTGCTTTCTCTGCCTGTTGAATGGAAAGGACCACAAATTAGAAGTATTAGTTTTGATGCTGCAGCCCAAACTGCTACTTTTTGTGCTTTGTTTTAGGTGTAGTTCTGGAACTAGAGTGATAAACCCCCCCTACATTTGAATATCAAGAAGGTGGAGGTAAATGGTAAGATGCTTACTTGTGTGCACTCAAAAATTTGGTAATTACACTCCCACCTTTTGCATTTCTTCCTTATTCTCTGTCAATATCGTGATTGTAACTAGTTTTCTCCCAAAATACTTTTTCCTACGATGTTTCTCAAGATGACAGTCTATATTTCAATCATGACATTTCAAATACTTGCATTGGCAAGCACTTAAAATCATTTAACAGTACAAAACATAAAAATATCTCCCACCCCCCAAAGACATTGGAATTTTGTTTCTGTGGCTTTGCAAAAGATCAGTTCAAATCAGAAATCCATCCTATATTTATTAAACAACTACTAGTAAAGGCTACCATCTCCCACTAACACATTTGCCCACTAAATGAGTCCTAAAGACCAGTGACAGATTATGTTCTCTTTATCCTTCCACATTCAATAGAAATACCAAGATCTAATCAGCAATACACAGAAGCCAGAGATGACATCTCTTCATTTCAGCTACCTGCTAGGATGAAGAGAACATGCAATAGAGCTTTTCTTATTCTTCATAAAGAATTATCTAGTTCTCAAGGATGCTACATCCATTTTCTAGCACTGCCTCCCACACTTGTGAAGAAAGGCTGGATTTTTTTTTTTTTTTAATTTATCCATGCCTAGTCTAACCTTATGATTACCATTGAATATTAATCTTTCTCTTCTTACTCTATTTTTACCAAACAGAAAGAAATATTTATTTCTTTCTTTATACAATATATTTTGCATGTTTGTAAGGTGCTCTCTTCTTCACTTCACAAATCTGAAAGCTTTATTCTTCCTTTGGGTTGACAGATTGCTTACACATAGCAGCTTACACTTTACAATGTCTTACAAACCAGATTTGCTTGTCTTGCATTTCCTTCTTCACGTTAATGAGAGCTGAAGAAAACACTAGGATGCTAGAACTAAGATATAACAAAGAAGAAGATTTGAAGATTTGGGAAAGTTGTGTAAAAAAAGTATCTGATTTTTGAGAAAGACTGATTTACTCGACTCAAAGGAAATAGTGCAAGACCTTATTGTTTGAATAGTGGAATCCTGAAAAGCACTCACAGGCCCGCACACATTTTGTCATTGCTGTCTTCAACACTAAATTGCTTTCCATTTTTCTTAACATGAGACCACCTTAAAACGTGAAAGTTCAGATAGGAGTGGTACAAAGATGAAGAAGGAAGTAACGATAAATCAATTTTCATATTTCTCTCTTCCAGTTATTAAGAGATTCATTGATCTGTTGTAACAGGCAAAGGTCCCTTCTCAGCTATTTGTGTGCCCACCTGAGGTAGCTGCTGCTTGGTTTGGGTTCGTCTTTTCCGCATACCTAACTAGGATTTTATTTTAGAAATAATTTTAAATGAGCATTAAGAAAATATGATGAAGGCTTAAACAGAAAACAAAACAACTCCCAAAATATTAGATATGTACCCTAAAAGCACTTGATTCATATATCAATCTCTAATTGTACTACATCGCTGTTTGGGGTTTTTAATTCCGTAGATGTGGGCGTTTGTGCATGTGCGTGTGACTGTCTGTGTGCCTGAGAGGGACAAAATCCAAAGTGAAAAGAAACTTGCTTTTGATAAAGTATCAGCTAGGTGGTCTAGAGCTTGGCAGGCTGTCACTGATGTTGGATACAGGAGACTATTAGCCTGTTGAAGGAAATTTAAGTTTATATAATGTATCGTTCAAATGTCTCAAAGAACATATTCTTCATCATCAGCAAAAATAACCTAGTTTGATATTTTAGGCTAAAAATAAAATTAAATTTAAAAAGTGAGGAAGCAGAAAGCAGTCATGTTAATGTTGACATATTATGCTAATAAAGACCTGAAATGCGTATAACCTTTAAAACAGACTATAATCACTTTCCAAGAACACACAGAGCTTTCTTCAGATTCTAACTCAAACAGGGCCTTTTGTGACGTAAAGTATTAAAGTTGTGAGCAAGGACTACCATAATCTAATGACTTCTTTTAATTGCCTGGACAGACAGCGTGAATTAAGTCTACTTACTGTTCTTTGAAAAGCACCATACAGTCATTAATAAGCATGCACTTCCTAACTCTGCTTCAATTATCGGAGTTGGAAAGTAACTGTAGAAGACTAAATACATTCAGACTACTGTAGCATGCACTTCCTAACTCTGCTTCAATTATCAGAGTTGGAAAGTAACCGTAGAAGACTAAATACATTCAGACTACTGCTAAAAAATTCACTGAATATATTTCCAATAACACACAGTAGCATATGCTGACTAAGCAAAATATATATGACTGTGGACTACCTAAACAAAAAAGAGATCACCCTTTATACAAGTTTTGCATTGTAAGCATTTTAAAAATGAACCATAAGTGATAACAAGTTAGTATTAGCACCAACATATGCAGATCTTTAGTATACTTGGTTTGCAGCTCTATAATTTAATCCTATGAAACTGTTCATAAAAATAAGCATCTTTAACTTAAAAAACCCACACCAAACCAAACCAACAACAGCAACAACAAAAAACCAACACAGAAGACCAAATCCTGTTAAAACTACTGCTATAATAAGGTCATTTAAACATATTTCAAATGCTAAAATGACGGAAAACTCTAAAATGTGATTAAACCCATCCTGTTCTTGTCAAGGCTTAGTTGTTCTATGCGTACATAACTATGTGTGGCATAGAGATTGTGAATACGGATAAATTGTGCTTTCTTCTCCAACACAAAAACTAAGCATTATATGCAGCTAGCAGATTCAACATAAAAATATAGGCGATTTTTCAGAGAGGTGTATAATTAAGCCGTGGAACTCCTTGTTGCAGTATTTTGTGAAAACTTTACAAAGGTTAAAAGAGACTGAAATCCATCGAGGGTTATTGCATACAGAGACATATTTGACCCACAATATCTCTGATTCTCCAAGTGTTAGACACTGGAAGAGTATCCCAGGGAAGTTTCATTACAGGCCTGCTTTGTTCACCTATTCTTCCCTAGATACCAACCTTCAGTCACTGCCAGAGGCAGAAAAAAAGGCAAGATGAGTCTTAGATATGAACCAAAATAACCAGTTGTACGTACTGTGACTGAAAACACCTATTTAATTTGGGATTGCACGCATTGCACTGCTATACTATTTAATTGTTTAATTCGGGCATTATTCTTTCTATTGGCTAAAATAATGAATCACAGTGAAGTACCTATTATAAATACAATTTTTTCGGTTCAGTGTTAGTTTTGGTGGTTTTTTTTTTTTTTCTTCCTCTTTGCTTTTAAACTTTGTGTCTTGAGGATATTATTAGATGAATTATTTTAAGACCATTTTGTGCCATATCAGTTAGGCTTGCATGGGCTACTCAAAATATGGATCCACAGTTTGGAAGATTGGAATGCTGTCTGAATTGGAAAGAAACGGCATGTTGGAGGTCAAGGTGATGGTGGACAGCGCAGGAGAAAGCACCTATGAAGTGGATCAGAAGATAAGCAGTGCCGTGTTAGCTCTATGACAGCCCAGAAGAGGATATAAAGGGTCTCTATGGCAAAAGTACCTCTCCTTTGCATTTACTGTTTCTTCAAGCCAAATTATTTCTAGGACTTTAACTTTGCTCTGGTTGATATGATTAGTTTCCCCTTCCTGACATTTCAAATGATGGTCTTGGATTTTCAGTGCTGAGGACGAGTTTAATTTCCTAGGCATATTTACCAGCTCCAACATTTTCATATACGTGCTTGTGTCAATTGCTTGAAACATGTCCATAGAAATTTGGCTGTGTCTCAGTGCTTTGCTCTTGATTAGAGACTGTAATTTTTTACTCTGTTGTCCCAGTGGTGGTATAAACTTGTCCAGACTCATGTGTTTCATTAAACATTTATTGATGCATGGATGAATAATAGTCAGCTTTGAATGTTTTGTACAACTATTTTTGCTGTTCTCTTCCACCTCAGAACACTTTTCCAACTTTTCCTTTATAGACCTACCTTGAAATTTCCACAAGTTTTTTCTGCACTTGGTGAGTACAGCTCTTGAATTGACATCCATGTCCAATGATTTTCCAATACTACTGATCCACTTATTTTGACTTTGATTATCTGTAATTAATTTTCCAGGTGGGATATTTTATTTATTATTTTCTTCCTTTTACAACATAAAAGCTGACTCAGTACTTTCCAACAACGCAAGCAATGACTGACAACAGCTACTACTACTGTACAGTATGATCTTTTTTTTTCCCAAGTGATGATGTGATGATGAACAGCAGGTGTATAAACCAATTTCATGTATAGATCAATGTGAAAACTGCTTAGATATTTTCAACTTTCTATGAATATTGTCTTAATAAAATAATTTTAACTCTTTCAGCAGAAATATAATCAATTCATCTGTTCTGTTAATGACACACATGCTAAAAACTGTAGAGTTATAGTTGTGATCCAACAATGAATCTTAAAAAAAAAACAATGGAAGAAACTCTTGGATTCAAAGCTAGTACTTATGTTCTAAAAAATCTGCCTCAGTGGGGAAGGACACTGTGGTTCTGGATATCGTGTAAAAGCTGACAGAAATTAGGGCTTGGTTTGGCAATGATGCAATTCTATCCTTGATCTTCTCTGTAGAGGATCTTCCTCCTCAAACTATCAGATTTAAATACAGAAGTTTCATAAGCATCAGGGGTTCTTGGAGAAGTCCAATGGCGATGCAAAGTTTGTGGAGTGGTATGTCAGGGCACATGACTCCCTGGAGCTCACAAAATGAAGCAAAAGTTGGTCATGTCAAGGTGGAATCTGCCCTGGATCCATCTGCACAGCCAGTCCTAACTAACTCGATATGCAAATTATTAAATTTTTCACTCTTTATGAACTCCAGCAGTAACAAAGTATGCAGAATAAATTGACAGAAACTGGATAATACTGTGAGAAAAATCAAGAATGTCACTATATTCCAAATGAGATACTCATTTACAGCTCCTGCCAATAAAGTAATAGTATAATATGAAGTTTATGGACTACTCACATAAAGATTACCATTGAACAAGAACTGTATGAGCCAGATACAGCTATCATATCAGACAGGTATTCTCATACATTGAAAGAGGACATATTAAGTGAGATGATTATTTCCTTTTGGTACTTTTTAAATAAATGTCAAACTACAGTAATATATTCAAAACTACTGGCCTACTCACCACAGTTAGCTTCATCTGATCCATCAGCACAATCTGGGTCTTCATCACATACCCACAGTTTAGAAATGCAGTGTTTTGTTGTTTTACACTGGAAATGGTCTGGAGAACAACTATTTTCAGCTTTAAATAAAATCCAAATTAATTTCAAATTAATTCCAAATTAAAACTAGAAATTTCTGCTAATATTCAAAATATTTGTTTTAAAGAAAAATATTAAGGATTTAAAATTCAGAAATTGGATATCTCTAGCATCATGTAACATCTGTAAGAAAACAGCATTCAGATTTATATTGTTTATACCTTTGTCTTATTTTTATATATTATTTTATATAAAACAGTAAAGTCAAACGAATGTCATAAACCAAGGGTCTATTGTGGTATTCTTTTAACAACAAATAGACTTAACATTGACACAATCAAACCATTTTACTAAAAAGCAGTCAGATTTTTTTTTCTAACTAAACCCAACAGTTATCAATTCTGAAAGTCAGTTTGAAGAACTAAGGCAGCTCTCAATGCTTTGATCAAAAAGGTAATCAAAATTATGTACAATTTTGGTGAAATTCTGTGCCCTCTGCTAAAAGAGATCATGGGTAAATGATGAGAAAAGTTTGAAAATTATTTCACTTTATCAGTTTAGCAGACCAAGTTTTTGAATGAATCCTACAGCAAGGTAAGGACGCAAAGATGTGGCTAACCTTCATCCTATTCTTTCAGGATGCTTTAAGTCAAAGCTTAACTGCTTTAACTTTAGAGTAGCCACTTGACAACAAAGATGATCCTCGGTGCACTCTGGTAATTCTATACCGACTCCTGCATATATGCCAGATCTTACAGTTTTTTAAACTCTTATAACTAAGAGTATAGAAATAAGATGAATAAAGGACATATATCTGGACTGGACTGTGAGCAATCTATTTGTGGGCAGATACATCAGGATTTCTTTAGAGATAAGCATATGTACAACGACCTCCAAATTTTTCTCAACTGAACTGCACATAGTTGGAAAACATCATGACCTATTTTTTGATTATGTTTTCCCACATGAACGTTTGTCCCATTTGTACCTAGTGAACTCCATAAGGTTTTAAACAAACTTTCCTATCTCTGTTGAAAAGGAATTTGCTCCTTGATACGATCATTCTTGTTTCTTGGGTTTGGCAAGATGAAAAGTTTGTTGCAGGTTAGTGTATTATTTCTTTCAGGGTCATGTTTCCATACATAAATTTACAGTGCTGGAATTAAAAAGCATTTAGACTTGGCTATACTGCCAACTATACTTATAAAAAATAAGACTGATTCTCAGCTAGAACACCTTGCCAGGGGATTTCAAAGTGCTTTACATCGAAGACCAGCATAATTACCTCCATCTTACATATGGAAAGCCTTAAGTATGAAATGTGACTTTTTCAAGGTCACTTGACGTATAAAACAAAATGGTGGCAGAGCTGAAAAAAATGGTCTGTATTTTATGAATCCTAGTCCAGTGAAATTAGAATGAGGTAGATAATCTCACCTGTTATCAGTGTTGTGACAGGAGACCAAGTCAACATGAACTTTGTGGTAGACCTACTTAAAACCTCCCCTTTTCATAATCTCCCCAAAGTCCATTGAAGAGTTTTCAGAAGCCACTAGCACACTTAACTTTTTTTTTAAGAGAGAAGCTAAAAAAGTCTAGGTAAGACAGAACAGAAATAAAAAAATGTATACAATTAACCTTCCCCGCTCCCCAGTGTGCCTTTGCAGGTGGGTCTACGGCTGAGTTTCAGACAGTTCAAAATTTTGCTTTATGCCACAGCAGACTGTGCTATCCCCACTAATCCCTAGGAAGTTTTCAACTCCATGACTGCTGATCCTGACTCTATCCCTCCCACAGTCCCTGAGCACTGCTCTGCTGCTGACTCTGCTGCTCTCATTTCATTTCTGTCAGCTACACCTCAAGGTTTTGGGAACCTTCCATACACCATGTGCAGTTCTTTATAATGAAAAAAGAAATCTCCCCTATCTTCCACAGGAGTTTACCTGACCCCACTTAATCAGTTTTTAAAGAAACGTAACATGCAAACCAACATATAATACTGTCTGTCAGAGGCTACAGCTCTGCTGAGCTGTTTGGAAGACGGCCATTAAACATGACCATCAACAAAGCCTTTTGTTGTTGTATCCTTAGCAACCCTTCCCTTGGAGAAGGCCATGTTCTTTGCAGAAATGCGGCATATGCAAACCTTGAGAAAGCTAATTCAGAAAATAGGGATAAGCACCTTAGATCAGCAGTAGATGTGAGTAATGAACTGAGTGAAGGACAGAGATGTATTTCAAGAGAGCACCATCATTTAATTACAGAATGATCAAAGGCACAAGCTATTAAATACATTTCCATTCTAAATCTCAAAATATTTTCTCTATTTATATCTAAGAAATATGGAGTGAAAGTGAATTTACAAAAGAACGTATTAAAAGCTGAGTAAATGGAAATCAAATTACATAGGCAAATTAATGAAGAAGTCCCCAGAGGAAAGGGAATAGAAAAGGTAGAAAACTCCATCAAAGGAAAAGAATGTAGAAGGACCTACGGTTCTACATCTTTTCCAATAAAAGATGCAGAAAAATATCTTTTTCCATTGAAATGTGTTGCTGCAAGGCATGGCAGATGAAAGCCTCAAGAAGATGAGTCATTTGTGAGGTGGTTAAGAATAAAATGGATGTTTCAGTCTAAGTCAGAAACCCAATTAAATGCTTCAAATTAATTGTTTGCACACCCCTCTTCTTTGCAATGACTTTAAAAAATGAAGTTAATAAATGATATTTTAGTTTATTCTCTTGTATATGGAGCATTGCACATCAAACAATCCCATGAATTAACTGTTTTGCATGTTCCTCAAATTATTTTACATAGAGACATTTATAGTATTTTACATATTTTTCTTCAGCTCCTTCTTTAAAACCAGCTACAGCTGTCAGAGCAAAATTCTCTAAACATAACTTACGACAGTCTCTTTCATCTTCTTCATCACCACAGTCATTCTGCCCGTTGCATCTCAGATTTATTGGGATGCACTTCTGATTCTTTGTGCATTTGAACTGACCTGACAGACACACATGTGTGTCTGTAAGTTAAAAGAATAAAAATATCACGTTAAAAAGATTAAAAGTTAAAGATTAAAAGATTTTAAAATTAGAAGGTAAAGTATAAAAATATAAATTTGTTTCTTGACAGAATGTAAAGCATGGCATTTAAATCAGTTTAGCATGTTTCTGAAGTCTACAATATATATAATCACCTACCGCAGTTCAGTTCATCAGAATTGTCCCCACAATCATTTTCTCCATCACAGATAAAGGCTGGAAGAGCACAAAGTCCAGTTCCGCACTGAAAACGTCCTGGCTGACATCTGAATTCAGCTGAGACGAAAGAAAACTGCTTATCAATACTATCAGAGGAATGGTTAAAATATCAATAGTGTTGTTCCTCCTCTATGGACTAATCAAAAGAACTTATAAACCTTTGTATCTGCCTGGATAGTCTCAATCTGAGTAGATATTAGTAACTAAAATGTACATGTGCTACTGCAAAACTAATTTCAACGTCTGAGATTTTAAATTTGCATAATTATAGTTCTATCTTACTAATGATGCAGAGTGCAATGCTGTACACGTTGATGCTTACTGTTAGCTCAACAGAAGCTTGCAATTTAGGATCTAAACACTCGAGTTCAAGTCTGCATTTAAGAAACTAATCTATTGCACTCTATTTCCCATGAAAGGTCTAACATTGTCCCTTCTCACAGCCACTGCCATTTGAGTGAATGAGCAATTATGTACCTCTAAAATAATATTTCACATAAACATAGCCTAGCTTAAAATGTAATCTTAAGTTGATTTATGTTGGTAAAGCTTGCTTCAGAGGCCTCTGCAGCAGAAAAAGAGAACTAATTATAAAATTGTAGAAGTATGGATGAAAGATTTCAATGCTAAAAAAAAAAAAAAATCAAATGAACTGTTACTTAATTGGAAGACAGTAAAACACACAGTAGAGCATTTTGTGTGTATAGGCAAGAAGGCAGGAATCTAGATTTATGCAGATTAATATAATACTATTAAAGTAGTCAATCACTGGGCCTGAAAAATAGCATCATCAACAGATATTACTGTTTAGAAATCCCGTGCACTAGAAAGGCACTTTTCTAACAAGTAAGCAAACTTGCAGTGAGCTACCATCAGAGCAGCCATCCTTCGGGGTGCTGAAAACATCGTCATAATTGACTTCCAGTTCTCTGCCATTCAACAGGAGAATACTACAGTAACCTACTGTTTGGACTACGTGAGGCTATTGAGAAATTCACTGTATCTGCCCCACCTTCAGGAGAGCGTTACAGGGGATGCATGAAAAATGTTCATTGCATAAAATTGTTTATACTAGACTGGTGAGATTTAGCTCTCCGAACTTTCTTTTGACAATCTTCACAGAACTATAAAATGAAAACATTTATATAAAACATATTGTGACAAATACATAGAATCTTAGTAGCAATCACTCGGAGAACACTGTTGTTCAGGAAACTGCACTAAATAATAATGTGTAGCTAAACTTGTTTAATTGCAATGAAACAAAAGCAAATGAGATTAGAATTCCACATTTATTTTATACACAAAAATAATCTAAATAATCTGGCAGAATTTTTTATTTGTATGTAAAAATCAGCAACCTCAGAAATTAGGTCTAAAATAAAAATCTACAGCAAAAAAAAAGTAACTGGGATCAGGAAAAGACTTAAAACATGAAAAATATGTTCTTATGATTTTCCAAAGACCTTAAAAGACCCTTAGTAGACATGAGTTAATGAAAATCTTTTACAGGCTGAAAACAAGAGCCTGTGCCCTTTGTAAATCTGACAGAGACCAAAGAAAAGAAAACAGAGCTGCAAACAAAAGCTTTAAAAAACCCCACAAAACTCTCTTCCTAACATCTATAAAGCATATTTGATTTGGACCCTACTGACAAAACTGAGTTCCAAATTCAGAAT